TTTGTTTTCTGTCTTTACCTTACTAATTTGGTATTATCATCAACAACACTAATTACAAGTGCTGTTGCTGTTATCCCAGCTTATCTTTTACAAAACATCATCTGCAAATCTCTTCAAAGTGAGATCTTCAGAGCAGAGCTGTTTACAGCATTTGCTCTCTTCTGTCTCACTATTTATTTACTTATTTATTTTCCCGGACTGTTCCGTTACTCTTCATAAAGTGTAACAATTTGTACATCATTGTTTTTCATTACAACTGGTTTGAAGCCTTTTTCCCTCCCATCACATTATTGTCTCAGTCTTATCTCTACTGTTTCTCCAAAACAGATTATATTACTCAGTCCGTAAATTACACAGACAACCATTATAGCTACTTGCTTCAATACCCTTATTTTCTTAACATTAATAAAATAAGGCAGATATATCATCATTTCAATCATTATTTTATCAAAATCTAGAATTGTTCCCCATTCTGCTTAAAACATTCTTCATATCATGTTAATCCCTGTCAATCATACAATGCCTTATTTTATTCTAAAACTTTTCATATCATTTAAACATTTGACATTTGACTTCCATAAATTCTATCAGACCATGTCTATTTTCATCACATATAGTTTTCTACTATATTCCTCCTTTCTTTTCCCTACATGCCAGTTCCTTCATTATCCTCTCCTTTCTTTTCTCAAACATACCAGTTCCTTCATTATCTAACCAGTACATGATTGTTTGAACAATCCCCACACACACATATCTCACACACCAACCTTTTTGTTTTTTTTTCACTTCCCTCTTCCACCAAGTCTCACTTACAGTTCCCTCTATTTCACACAGACAGCCTTATTGCTTCTTGCTACTTCAATCCTTGTCATATAAATTTAAGTTCTATAGACATCTAATGTCATGCATCCATTTACTGGATAAAGAAGTAAAAAAACATTATTTCTCCTGGCAGTTCGACATTTTATCTTCAACTGAACAATCCATTATCTGTTCACATTTTTTACACACATGTTGAACGCAGCCACAACAACCTTTTGTCCCGCTGCCCTGTTCCACTGATTCTCGCACACTCTTAGTCTATTTGTGCTCATGGTAGCTCATGATCATGGTATTTTCTCAGTTTTTTTTTCAATATCTAACACATACATTTTCCCCCATACTTTCCTAGTTCTACAGAAAACCGGTGTATCAAATTTCGCAAGCTTGCTTTTGAGACATCCCCATACTGGCTGTTTTCTGTTCTCTGTGGATTTCTCTTCAACGCGCGTTTTCTTTAATCTGTTAGGCGTCCCTAAACAAATCCGATTCTTTTCTTTTAACCCAAATCGGTCGGGTTGCACTATTAGTGCCCTCCTAATTATGGTTTACCAAAAAATTCTGGTTCCCCCTAATTAGCCTCAGTACCTAAAAACAATTTGCTCCGTCGTGGAACAACTAATTTTCAGGGTACCTATCTGTTTGAAATCTCTTGATCTGTTACAGTTCTCACTTAATCCCAGATTATTTATCTGCTTGAAATTTCTTGTTCTGTTACAGACCTCAATTAATCTCAGATTTTTTCCTCGTATCTGTTTGAAATTTCTTGATCTATATAGATCTCAATTAATCTCAGATTACGTACCACAGAAACAGCCTTCAGCCAATATGGTTCAATTTCACTCTTCTCCCCAATTAAACTGAATTTAATTAACTTACCCAAAAGAAAATAAATTGAACTGTCTCTTACCAGAGATGCTTCTGTTGCCACCTGCGGGTTCTTTAGATTCCAGTGGTCGATTCTCCCGGCCCTGATATCGGTCGGCCCCTCTCTCTCAAGTTTACGAGGTAGAGCTGGAACTTACTTAGTCCAGGTGGCCAAACACCGTCCGATCTCAGGTCCAGGAGGCACGTCCAAGGAATCCCACTTCTGACACCAAAACTGTTGTGGCAAAAATTCATCTCAAACAAACATCACTGCGTAAGAGACACTCAGAGTCAAATTATATAAAATAGAAGTATTTATTCTTGCAAGAATAGGAGCAGTCTAATACACAGTTGTTACCCTGTGCAGAAGAGTGACACACCCCCAGACAGACTGAACTAGCTTTTATCTTAGTTTCAAGGCCTTCTTCCCCCCAGAGCCTTCCTCCCAGTAGTTTTCCATAGACGTCACTAGTTGGCCCAATAAGCCCCCCTGCACTAAGTGGCCTTCTGACATCTAGGTCAGAGGTCCTTGTTCGTCTGTTCTCTGGAGTGTCTCCCTCTTCTGCCTCCCCAGGTACATAAACAGAATCTTCTCTCACTACAAGTGAGAGACACACATGTGACATTCTTTGAATCATCTATATTTGTCTAAAGATCAATGAATATCATTAAAATTTCCACTACAAGACAAAATATAAAATACCATGGAAAAATGTTTGCATGTTTGTTTTGTATCATATGATACACCAGACTTTTATGGTTTATATATAATTATATATATTATCACATTATCATACTTGAGGAAGAAAAAAATGGCATATTTTATTCATATACACACACTGGGGGGAAAGAATGTAATTTGGTACAGATGTTATTTATATTTCCAAAAAGTAAGATGAAATTCTGAAAGGTTATAGTATAAAGCATTGAGATTTTTATAAAACAGGCTAATAAATAAAGTACAGTATATTTTCACATCATATATTAGTTGTCCCTCTGTTTCTCCCAGTAATTAGATATTTTAAATGCTTATTTCTGTGTAATTCTGTAGTTTAATGTAATAATAATGTAATGCAATATGTAGATCGAGAGATTTACAAATAAACATTTATCAAAAGCCTGTTGTATCATATTTGATGTACATATCAGATCGTTTTTCTACAAAAAAACTTCTTAGGTTCTCAGGTTTAAGTAATATTAGCTTTACTTAAATAATTAAATATGTTATGTCAAAAAGACATGTACATGTGCATGGAGCAGTTTTAGTATTATAGTGAAAGGCCTTTAAGTTGCCATAAAGTGTGAACTGTCTCATATAATGGTGTCAGTGCAGTCAAGTCAATAATATTGTTGATTAATAAGTGTCCACTAAGAAAGACAGAGGAAACAGTGGCAAGAACCTAAACTCCATCAGGTCACATAAATAGAGAAAAAATCCTATAGCTATAGAAGCTTTACACAAATTGTTTTTCAAACATGGTTTATTTTATCAAGGATATTTGTCAGTGAATAAAAAACACTAATGTACAGGAAATAGTTTTTGAAGATACATTTTATTTTAACTCAGCCTCTTTGCTGTATATGCTGTTTACAGGGCTCTAGAGTGCGACCAATTTGGTTGCATATGCGACCAAAATTTGTAAGGGTGCGACTAAATTTTTTCCTAGGTCGCACCAGTGCACCTAACCTTCTCGCATGATCGCATCCGTTGCCTCTCAACAAACGAGTCTTTTGTTCTCCTTGCACGCATGGTTGGATCATATCGTGGTCTAAACCAATCAGAGATAGAGATTGGGCTGGTCTTTGCCTCTGATTGGCTGTGGTTCAGATATTCCTGTAGGACTAAAATGCTCCGTGCTGTCTGTGTGATTGAAATAAATTGCGACATGAGCACCAGATAATCAGTTACGGCAATCAGCAGCATCAGCTAAATAAACGCAAGAAAACAGACGACGAAGAAACTTTAAAAAATGTAGGCTACTTGAACTAGGTAAAAAATATTGATTTCTCGATTTTAATCGATTCTCATTTTACGAACCGTTGGGCTATGCTGTTTTCAGTTGATGAATGAATGGAACATTGTAACACGCATCCCATCCAATAAATCGCAATGATCTTTGTGCTTTGTTACTATTGATATGAAACAACGTCTCAGATTTCAAATTAGGTCCATTTTCTTATGAAATTCAAAAACATAAATAGTGTTTTGACGCTGTTGCGTGAGATCGCTCTGGCTCAGCTCAGCCCCAGAGAAGCAGCAGCGTGGAGTGCACATGATCTTCTCTTCCGCCTTAATAATACCAGTTACAGCGCGAAATAAACATGAACGAGCATCTGAAAGTGTGCTAAAAGATAGAGTACAACTTATCGAAATCCGTATCTTTCACATGGAATCGCTCAATCAGTGTTTCAACCGTGGAAAGACGTCAGTAAAACGCTTTTAAACAATGTCATGTAACGTCACATTTACCTCAGAAAAAACATATCCAGTGACCATAAACTCGTTAGCTAGCTAGAAAAATTAACTCTAGGGAGGAGCATTTTGCCAAATATATGCACCATATTGCATATTCATTATAATTTTTTAATGTTTTTCAATATTTAATGCATGTTATTTGAAAAAATCTGGCAAGTTTTTATGCAGCCACCATTTAAATGTTTATATTTCATATAACTTTATTATTATAAAAATAAATAAAAGTGTAATTTAAGTGTTTGTGTACAAATCAGGTAATTTTTACCTTCAATATTATAGTAGGCTAATGAAGCATAGTGGGCTACAACTGACTCCCAGTTTACAGCATTAGTTAAGAGATTTGTTTTCCTTGAGAAAATTTGCCATGTATTGTACCTGATATCCAAAATAATCAATATTGAATCGAATTGTGAAATTTGTGTCAATACCCTGCCCTAACTTGAACAATGTAAAAACAGCACTTTAAATGTTTTATTTTTTTTAAAGATTAACATTTGTATATACAGTATAATTGTGCTTAAAAAAAAATGTATTATTATTATTCTTGTTTAAAAGCATTTACATAATATATATGAATGTATATGGAGCGTGATAAAAAGGTGACCTTGAAATTGTGGCGTTAAAGGCAACGCGAGACGAGGAAAAAATTTAGTGCACCTCAATTTTGTGCTGGTGCACCTAAATAAAAAAGTTAGGCGCACCAGTGCAACCAAGGCAAAAAGTTAGTCTGGAGCCCTGTGTTTATGTAAAAAATAAATGGGAAAATGTATTTAATATTTGTATATAGAAAATGTATTGTATGTATTCCATCTAATTCTGTGTTGTGACTTTATTGTAGGTTAAATGATTGTAACTTAACAGACAAAAGCTGTTCAGCTCTGGCTGCAGTTCTTGGATCAGATACCAATCTGAAAGAGCTGAACATGAACAATAATAATCTGCAGGATTCAGGAGTGAAGCTGATCTGCACTGGACTGAAGAATTTAAAGTGTAAATTGGGGATACTGAGGTAAGTGTAAATTGGACGATGCCGGAGGCAAAAAGCGCACTTGAGTTGATCACCTCCCAATTTCCACATCTTTCCCTTCACCCATCCTTACCTGAATTCACCCAAAAATCTATATGGTTTAATATGAACTATTATCATACAGTATTATACATGTTTGGTATCATTTGAAATGTCTCAGTGCGACTGGTACAAAGGTCTCATTCCCACAGAAGTAAACCAAAAAGGTAATAAGGTGTGGAGCGTTTAGAGATATCTTGTTAACTGCTGTGTGTGTGCCCCCATGTAAATCAACGTCTGTCCCCAGTAAGTTAGGGACAGTGATTAATGCAAATTCCCACTGTGAACTCGTTAAAATACATCATGTATTTTATAATGTCAGGTTCGCATGTTCTCTCTTTATTCCAGAGCATTTGATGTTTTGTATTGATTATCTTTGAACTGATTATGTAATTGGCATGATACATTTACCTGACATAATTAATTGGTACATTTGATTTTATTCCGACTGACTCTGAAATTGTTTTCCCAAGTAGATTAAACGGATTTGTATGTTCCGCAAGTTTTGCGTCAGATTAGTGACAACTAATATTTTGGCGCTAATTCAAGTGTACGTGTTTCGGGCAGCGTTTCGGGAAGCAAAATTGAAGCGTGACCAACTTAAATCTGGGTGTGTTTTACCTCTGTTTTAATTTAATGTTACTTTACATAAGTGTACGTGGGAAACCACGGCAGGGCCAATCCAAAGCTATTATAAGACAAGTAAAGTTGGTTGACTTATATCTGTAGTAGTGGCCATACCTCTACTGAAGTAAATGTTACTTTAATTTCAAGTGTATGCAATCACAGGGGCTATACTAAAGTATATTTGATTATGTAAGCGTGAATGCGACTGAAATCAGGTATATAGCAATTACTTCTGTTTAGTGACCGAAGCTGGTGAGATTGTGATCTAAAAACATTAAATTATGAGATTTTCAATCTTCATACAGGCTTACACTGTTTAAATAATTGTAATCTCGAAAGTGATGTTGATGTCTGAACACCAAAACAAGTTCGTCAAGCACAAAAAACCGTAAAAGTTCTAGGCTACTGTATGTTTGAGATGTCATGTTTTCATGAAGGTTGAAAGGCTGAAAGCTGCTATTATTATCTTTGTTTTTACAAAACATTTACTGCTAATAATATTATCTACGTGGAGACATTTCCCCGCAATGTAACGTTAGGCTATGAATAACAGGACACGACACACATAAGCGCGCGCATACACACGACACACACACCGCGCACGCATACACACACACTGGTCCACTATCTTTATGGGGACTCTCCATAGACGTAATGGGTTTTATACTGTACAAACTGTAGGTCTCCTTACACTAATGAATTAGTTTTTATGAAAATTTTCATTGTTTTTTTCTTGTATACTTTTAAGTTCTATTTATTTGGTGCTTTGTTCAATCTCAAACCATTATTTATTTTTATTATTAAGATGTCTGCACAAGAGTTAACTGTAATCTGTGCAAACATTAAACTTAAATTAAACGTCTCGCTTTGGTCTACACTGGAAGTGTTCTGCTCGCTCTGCTAAAGCTAAACTATAATTACTAAAACTGAAACTAAATAAAATAAAAACTATATAGAAATGTGTTTGCAAAATAAAAACTAAATAAAAACTAACAAAACCATTAATGAAACTAACTAAAACTAAGCTGAAATTTAAAGCAAAATTGAAAACTATATTAAAATAAAAACAAAGCAAAACTATAACAACAGATATTCCCGGAGACAGAGCACACCCGAAGACGGCTCTCACTCAGAAATCAATAAAGTCTTCATTCGCTGCCGGTTCTCATTATGACAAGACGAGCAAAAAGTGGAAAGACATAACAAGTGCATTCAGGCCTACCTCATGTTGCAAGTTTGCAGTTTTTGAGAAAAAAAAAAAGGGCACAATAATAATAAAAAACAATTCAGGTCTATGTCCAATGCCTCACCTTTTTCTAGTTATCTAGTGTTAAAATACATATTTTACCTGTAATTTAACTAAGGTGTACTAAAATGTGATTCCAATTTTCTTTCTCATATCGCGATATAATATCGATATCGTCCGGACAGTGAGAAAATATCGTGATATGAATTTTTGCTCATATCGCCCACCCCTACAATCAAATGTATTGCTAAACTATTATATAATTGACCAATAACCAATTGGCAATCTAACTTAAATTCGAGGTCATGATAAAATGGATTAAGATATAAAATGGAGTCCGATAAAAGCTTAAATGGACTTAAATTGCTTTGCCATGTGGAAAGACAGTAACACGCAGAAACCTTCACCCGTTCTGGAGGAAACCCCCATTTGGACCGATAAACGGGCTTACACAGTTTTAGATAATTGTAATCTCGAAAGTGATATTGATTTCTAACATATTAAATATTTCTGTGCCTTTTGTTTACCTCCATATTCAGTTGTCAGTTTTTGCAACTAACTTTCAATGCATTTGTACAAAGAACAAAATAAAATTCAAATTTAAGGATTTATATTGTTTGGGGTTTAACTGATTAATCAGTTGAATGCTTTCATTCCTGTTCTAGACTCTCTAACTGCAGTGTAACAGAAGGAGGTTATAAAGCTCTGGCTTCAGCTCTGAGATCAAACCCTTCACACCTGATAGAGCTGGATCTCACAGGGAATGATCCTGGACAATCAGGAGTGAAGCAGCTCAATGATTTACTACAGGATCCACACTGTCAACTGAAGACACTCAGGTGAGACAGGATTGAATATTTAACTAAACTAGTTAATTAGGCTAAATATTCATAACTAATATTTTATTTTAGCGATACAATTAGCTTGACAATTTGTTGCATCAAAAATGATCAAGATCAGATCAGATGCTGCAGGTTCTGTCATGATGATGATAAACGTCAACACAGTTTAGTTGTGATATGAGCTACAGGTCAAATAGACATTATGGATCAGTATACAGTTGGTCCTCAACCAGAATAATACTTTTGCCGCCGCTGTTAAATTGGGGGGTGTATTTGCTGCCTTTTACCGCTAAGAAGCGCTACTACCACAGACTTTGAAAAGTGTCAGTTTTTACTCTCTATTGCGTAATCTGCCGCGGCTCGTTGAGAACTGGTAGCAGATAAATTCAAGTGAAACATTTTAATTAAACGACTTCTTAATCACAATACTGAAATTAAAGTACAAATTTAGAACTAAAACAAATGTAGGCTTCTATTATTGCATCAAATTTAAGCAAAGTAGGTTAAACTTTAGGCTAATATTGTGTGCCCAGTTTTTCTATAGGCTAATCTCAGGTTATGCGTCAATATAATGGGTAGGCTATTATACATCGTTTCAGTTATTAAATCTACTAACAAATTAAAATAACGGTGAAATAAATTAGGCATAAACAAAATGATCGTTTAACCCCTTGATAGGCAGGGATCACTGGTGATCCCGGATTAGTGTTGTTCAAAATTCATTACTTGTCAAAACATCTCACTCTTACTTGATCTGGACGAACTCAGCATCATAAGAAAGGTTGAAGTCTACAGCTTCGATGTTTGACCACTGTTTATGATTTAACTGGTTTGCAGTGATATTAATTTCTTAATTTATGCCAGGAGTGCAAAATAATTAATCTGTAATGTTCGTTATTTTGAATAGAAATCATCACTCATAAAACATTAATTCTCGTGTTCTCCGGTTTATTTGTGTTCAAATACATACAATATACAGCATCCGCCAGGGCTATTAGTCCAATGGTGCGCATATTTGGAGAAATGATTAATAATTATCACATGCTAGTAAAATATTTCTTCATAAAGAATAACATTTCTATTCATTTACCACTGAAATGTGCGATCTAAAGAGCTCAGACAGCGAACGGAGCGAGATGTGTGTCTTCTCTTCCTGAATCGCGTCACATTTGACCTCAAAGCTATATCATTCGCTGTACAGCTGTCAATCATCTCACGTGGTCCAGCGTGACCTCTTCTGCATGACGCGTCATGTGTACACTTCCTCATACTGGACATCCGTGATAACAAAGCGAAACTGACATCTCTTCACCCGAAACAAGGAACTAATAAATGCACGATTGAAATATTATGTGTTTTGTGTTTGATTTTCGTGCGATTTGGGGTTTTCATATCAATACAGAATGTTTACAGAATGCATATGCTAGGAAATGCTAGCCCATAGCTTCATCTGAAATGCTAAATATAACATATTTCAAAATCTTTTCATGACTTGAAACCATTTTAATCCGCGACCGGCATATGATACAAATACTAGATGTTGTTTTAAAGTGAACTTTGAATAAAAGTGTAATATTAATACATTAAATTGTGTCATGTAGCTCGAGGCTACTTGTGCTAATGCACCTGCTTGCAGAAGCTATTCCATTTCATACAATCATTTAAAAAAAAAAATAATTCGCATTTAAAGTTCCAAGAATTGTTTGTTTTCTAACAAGACTTAATATAATAGATGGATTGATCATGTAGGGTGGGATCAGAGAGGTTTAGATGGCCAATATAGGCTATAATGGCTGAATTCAAACAAAAGAATAAGGATAAAAGAATAATGAAGATTAAGTCTCATACCGGCATAGGTGTGAAAGGTTGGTCGATTAAATGAAAAGAACATGAATGGGCCAGTTCTCCTCGCCAGACATTAGTCAGAGACTGTAAATGGGTGTTTACAGGGCAATAAAATATTTGATGAGAATCTTATATTAGCATCCTATAAAACTTCTCTAAACTCTCTCCTGACATGGTTTCACAATAGGCTTAATAAAATGCATAATTTTAGAAATATCATCCTCAGATTTTAAATGAAGCATGACCACAATTGTGGCTACACTTTAGTTGTGGTTTCAAGTTGCTATCCTAAATTCACATAATATTTTTATACATTTAATAAATATGTTCTTAATATTTGTTGTTTTTGTTTTTATGTTTGAGCTTATATATCTCAATATTAATAACAGTCTGATTAATTTTGAGTCTTGAAATGTAAACTCTCAAGGGTTGGCTTTCTAAATATATGTTGGTTATGTGTCTATTCAGAATGACTTAAGAGCAGCAACCTTTTTATTTTGGGTATGTCATGAATGCTTCACTTGCCAAAATTGGGGCCGACTGGTAAGTTAATTATTTAAACATTGTCAGGACTTGCTAACCGATGTTAGTCGGCATCAGTTCTGTTTTAGCATTCTTTATTATTTTAAGAATTAACCCTCTGGGGACTTAGCCCTTTTTGGTCCGTTTTCTCTATTTTTACATTTGGGCTTATAAACCATATGTAATGGAGATTGAACACCATGGGCCCTATTTTAACGATCTGAAACGCAAGTATCAAGCGCGAAGCGCAAGTAACTTTGTGGGCGGGTCTTGGGCGCTGTTGCTATTTTACCGGCGGGATAAATGACTCTTGCGCCCGACGCAAGTTTAAAAGGGGTTTGCCTGAAATAGCTTCATTATTCATAGGTGTGGTTTGGGCGTAACGTGAAATAAACCAATCAGAGCGTCATCCAACATACCCTTTAAGAGCAGGTGCGCATGTTGCATGGCGGATTGTTATTATTATGGCGGATTTACCAGGCGCGCGCCAGGAGCGGTTCACAGCCGAGGAGACCGACGTTCTTGTCAGGGCAGTGAAAGACAGAGAAGTGACGTTGTATGGGGATGGGAGAAACCCACCCAAATCAGCGTCGATTAAACAGGCGTGGGAGGGAAAAAAATACATTTTTTTTACATCTTCATGGACACCACAATGATTTCCCTCATGTGTTAATATTTTTCCTTGTTATAATGTATGATTTGGAAAAATAAAAACTGCTGCATCTGTGTTGATGAGAGAATCAAAGTGTATGCGTGTTGTGCACCCGCTACATAATGGCCAAGCATGCGCACTTAAAATAGCATTATGAACAACGCGCAACGCGCCACTGACTTTAGACTAGGTTTTTTCTGGTCAGTGGCGGAATTGTTTTCTGGAACTGCAAAATAGCACTAGGGAATGTTTGCGCCAAAACACGCCTCCTTTTTGCTCCGACCCGCCCAGGGAGCGCAAGTTCATTCCCTAGTTTACCGACGTGCGTCTGTGGAGGGAAAAGCCCGCTTTGCGCGGGTGCAAAATAGGAATGATACATGCGTCAGTGTACAAAGTCATTTGCGCCGGGTGCAAGATAGGGCCCCATGTGTTTGGTATCTATGGATTCAAAAGACCCTAAGCTAGTATGTAATGTGTTTATAAAGGAAGAATGAGTGAAACATGTACAATAAATGTACAATAAACTAAAGAATTTCAAAACGAAAATTTTATTTTTGTCATTTATTACTGAAAATCACACCTCACACAACAATAGTTAACAGTTTTTGAACAAAAAATATATTGTTCAAACCCTTTGCTTGACAGACATTTGTAATTGTTCAATCAAAAGTAAAATATTTCATCATCTGTGAAAAAGCTGTCAGCTTCGGATTTCTCCTCGTCACTTTCCAGTAATTGTTCCAGAGCGTGTTCTGAGGTAAATCTTTTACTGCTTGCCATCATAAAAGTGCTAAAACAATAAGATAATAATGCTATAATTGCTATATATATATATATTATAATCGTTCTGTCTCTCTCTCATATAAATCTCTCTGCGCGCTGTAATACTCTGCTCCGTTCGCTCTCTGTCTCCTTCTCCACTCGACGCTGTTTGCGTGAAATTGCGTCATATCACTTACTATAATCCCACCCCTTGCAAGGCTACAGAGTCCTCTGATTAGCTAGAATACGCCATGGTAACCTTCCTCTGATTGGTAAGAAAAATATTCCTCCCAGCGGCAATTTTTCCATTGGTCTTTGCTCATGGAATATTCCTAACAACATTGATTTCATTGGCCTTATACGCAGTGGTATTACGCAACAAGGAAGTGTGTATCCCATATTCCATTGTTTTCAGCGGAATCTGAGGAAGACGGCACCTCTCTATCATTAATAGTTTTTAAGATAATTACACATTTGTAAAAGTGTGCTCTTTTGGGCGGTATCACCCAGTCCGTCCCCAGAGGGTTAAATAGGCTTATTTTATAAATGAAAACATTTCAACATAAAACATTGTAATAATTTTTTTTAAATCAATAAGGCTTTGCATGAGCATAAGATGTTAAGTGTTCAGACGATAGCAGTGCGGTCAATGCTTCAACATGTCCCTCGCGGGGCTTCAAGCGCTCTGAGTTCGAAACTCAGCTCTATAAACTGATTTCATTATTTTGTCTCTAGTTTAATATTTGTCGAAAATAAAAACTTTTGAAATGTGCATTTATTGATTCAAAACACTTTTTCGGAGCTTTGTTATTAATTGTCTGTCATTTTTATTAATAGGCGTTTAGATGATAACATTGAAGCAGGGCTGTAGTACTCGAGTCCGGTCTTGGACTCGAGTCCGGACTCGAGACCGGTTTTCTATGGTCTCGAACTTGTCTCGGACTCGCTTGTATTCGGATTCGGACTCGGACTTGTCTCGGTCTAGGCCACTCGTCTTGCCAAATATGGCTTTTGGTCTCGACCGAGTCCAGTCCAGGTGTCTTTATTATGTTCCCAGTAACAAATTAGTGTAGTTTGCTTCCCGCAGACTTCCCCAGGAACCTCCGCAGATTGCAGTGCCCGTCATTGACAAGTACGACCTGCGCATGTGTGATTTATTATTTTCTACTATTTGCTACTGCAATACCGGCGCATAGCTGAAATAACAGATCTGTCT